TCTCTCTCTCTCTCTCTCTCTCTCTCTCTCTCTCTCTCTCTCTCCTACCTCCCTCTTTCCCTCCATCTCTGCTTTCCTAGTCTTATAATAAAGATAATAACATTACTTATTAGGGTTATTGTGTGGATTCAGTTGGATGCCTCCGAGGCATTTATCCAAGTACCTGATATGCAGTAAACATTCATAACGACTGGCCACCACCACCACCATCACCATCAAATCTAACTTATCTTCTTAGCATATACTTCTGAATCAATGATCCCTCCTCTTTGTTGCTGGCCAACAAGAAGCAGGCTGGGCATAATGCTAAATACCAGGACTTTTAGAACTTTGCTCTCACCTTTCAAAGAACTTGGCATCTAGAGGGAAGACAGGATAGATAGGTCTGCTGTATGACAGAAAATGCAGAATATATTTGATATGATGCTCTAGGATACCTGGAAGATAGCTACCAATGCTGGCCCTTCCTCCAGAGATGCAGTGGTTTCAGGATGTGAGGCCCAAGCATCTGCATTTTTGACAAATGCCTTTGGTGGCTCTAATTCAGGCAATTCTTCATCAAAAGAGTCATAGTAAGTGGGTAATTCCAAGCAAAATACTTCCACATGAAGGGATGACATTAAGACATTTAACAACTAATATAGTATGGGCTGTTAACCAGTTCGAGTAGAAATCTTAGTGTTGGAGTTAGAAATTCCAGAGGTCCAACACTGGCATTAACTCCTCATTAACTCCTAGAATGTGAGAATTGAAGAGAAGGCTACACAGCACCTATTCACCAACTAGCAAGAAGGCATTTCATTGTTTCAAACTGTCAGATTGTTCTCCCTCTCTACCTGAATCTGAAGGCGTATTTGTAGGTGTATATGCACGTAATCCCTGTACTCCTTGAATGCCTGGACTAGATGTTATATTTGTTTCATCTTCTCTTTTTCAATTCTATCCCCAGTAGATCTCATAATTTAAATCAAATAAATGAAATGATACTGGTAAAATTAATACATATTTCATATGGTTCTTATACTAGGTACTTTTCTTGAAGTTATTCTTAAGGTTTTGAAAATAGCCCCGTCACCATCCTGTCACTTACAGCCAATTATAGTTTTCCCTGTGAAAACTTGAGTTTCATGGGTCTCAGAGCTTTTCACCTCCTAGACTATTTTCTCAGCTCAGAGGCCTCCTCTACTTGACAGCCTGCCAGATTCCAGATCTCCTGGCCTTTACCACAACTGGCCCAGAGCATGTTTATTTGCACAGTGCTGAATTACAGTCCTAGTTCTCTGCCTTTCTTGTTACTTTTGGTTCCTGGTGGCCGACATAACTCAAAATGATGTGTCAGAGACTGAAATTGAGGAAGATGATAGCTCTTTCCATGAGAGATCCACAGTGGATAGTGAGAGGATGGGAATTGAGCCGGAGACATGAACACCCAAAACTAGACTTTTATTAGGGAGACAGGGTGTAGAGGATGGGGTGCTGGGCTGTCTCGGACAATGGTGAAAGCAGATTATATATGGGCAGGGGGTCATAAGGAAGGGGTATAGTGCAGGTAGATGTTTGGCTGCAGCCAGAGGTGAGGTTTACATCCATTGGCACCTTTTGATTTCCCTGTGGGAAACACTACAGGTGAGAGAGATTTATGGCATGAAAGTTGGGTCATTGCTCCCCACCGCTGGAGAGATTTATTATCTTCCAGGAAGAGCCATTTAGGATATGGGGTTAGAGCCACTTTACCTAGTAGGGAACTCTATCAGATAGGACAAAGAGGAATGGAAGAAAGAATCAAATTTCTGTATCTTATCTTTCTCATATGGAATTTTAAAAATTCTCAGCATAAAATGATGCCGCCTTTAAAAAATTTATTTCAAGGGAATAAAACTTACATTTAATACTGATATACATGAACACACTAAGAATAAAGGACGTGATAACCATCTTCAGGAATAAGTATGCTATATTGGTATCTATCCAGTATTGTTTAGAGACAATTCCAGACTATGTGAGAGCTCTCTGAGCTGTGTGTTTTACAGAGATGGAGAATCATAGTTAGACATTTTTAAAATACCAACCTCTGGAAAGATCTGATTGCCCTTGAGCCTTATTCAATGGGTAGAATTTCAGTTACTTGAATGACATAACAGAAAAAATTGATACCTGTTTAAAATATATAATTGTCACTTGAGCCCTCAGAATGGATCAGCAAAACTGTTGTATTTGTCTTCATCAAAAGGAAAAACTTGCACTTTGAAGGACTGAAAGTGTGGTTTAGTGTCAGAGGACTTGTCCAGCATTCCGAAGGCCCTCAGTTTTATCCTCTCAGAATTGCAAAAAGATAAAACAAGAAAAGTTAAAAGACAAGCCACTGAATGGGAGAAAATATTTGCAAGTATATATCCTATAAAGAATTTACATCTAGAATATAAAAACTGTAAGTCAATGATAAAAAACAAATAATTTCATTTAAAAATAAAGTATCTTAATAGACACTTCTGGGAAGATTTACAAATAGTCAATAAACATGAAAAGATGTTCAACATCATTAGGGCGAAATAAAAAACCACACTGAGATACCATTTCACACTTATTAGGATGGCTGGAATTAAAAAGACAGATAATAACAAGTTCCGTGGATGATATGAAGAAATTGGAACCTCATTCACTACTGGTAGGATTGTAAAGTGGAAAACAGTTTGTCAGTTCCTCAGGAGATTAAATGTAGAGTTACCATATGACCCTGCAATTCCACTAGCAGAAATGAAAATACATGACCATACAAACACTTGTTCACAGATGTTCATAGTAGCATTATTCTTAATAGCCAAAGAGTAGAAAAAAAGTAGGTGTTTGCCAAATGATAAACATAGAGAAGTATAGTCATACAGTGGAATATTACTGGGAAGTAAAAGAAATGAAATACTGGTACATACTACAACATTGACTGTTGGAAATGTCATATTTAGTGAATGAAGCCAATGGCAAAAGACCACGTGTTGTATAATGCCATTTATATGAAGTGTCAGAATAGGTAAATCTGTAGAGACAAACTAGGTTAATTCCTGTTATGGGCTGAGATGGGGAAGGAGGGATTAAAGGGGCAATGGAAAGTGCTAATGTGTAGTGGGCTTCCTTCTAGTATGATGAAAGATTCTAAATTTATTATTGTAATGGTTGCACAATGCTTTGAATATACTAAAAAACATTGAATTATATAACTAAATGGGTGAACTATATTTTGCATGAATTATGTTTCAAAAATGACTTTTTTAATAAATGGGAAATGAGGAAATAGTATTATATAAAATTATGTGCTTAGGAAAGATAGAGAAAAAGCAATAACTGGAACAGGATGACCAAGGGAGGACTCTTGCTTCTTAGTTTTTGAGGATGAAAGGTGTCAGGCCATTTTTAAATGCATCCAGAAATGATCTAACAGAAGGTTGGAGTTGTAGGAAAGTGGAGTCTCTATGGTCTTTCAGAAGACAGACGTTTGGAGGGTTCAGATCATGGCTATTCAGGCTGGCCTTTTACCCCACTTTTATT